TCCCCGTGCCCGTGTGTCACCAGTGTGTGCTCTCTTCCCGCAGACCCTGACCAAGGGAGGAGTGACTTACCGGGATGAGCCGTGGCACAAGGAGTGTTTCGTCTGCACAGGCTGCAAGACCCCCCTGGCTGGCCAGCAGTTCACCTCCCAGGATGACAACCCGTACTGCATCAAGTGCTTTGGGAACCTCTATGCCAAGAAGTGCAGTGCCTGCACAAAGCCCATCACAGGTAAGCAGAATGGCCCCGGTTATGGGGCGCTTCTGCAGGGCAGGGCATGACCTACCTGCCCTCCTTCCAGACATGTGGTGACTTCTCTGGGTGAAGCTGCCCTCTTGAGTGCACATGTGACCCAGGCCCATATGATGCTTATACACGTCTCCACCATGCAGGCTTGTTCAAGTGTCTCCAGGCACTTCAGGCCTCCTGGGGACAAATGCTGGGGAGAGCAAGGTGCCATTAGGCATGTCCCTCACAGAAACAACGGCAGCCGCTTTTCCAAGGAACCCCATGAGAGAGGATCTCTGCTGCAGTGGTCCTAGGGCCACGTGTGTCCCTTCATCTGCATCTTTCAAAGCAGTGAACTCTGCCCCATGGGAGGAATTCCCTCTGCCCAGGGGTAAAGGCTCCCAAAATGACCCCTTACAGGGTGATCTCGTGTCTCTAGCTTGCCTTGTTTGAGGCTGGTTGCCACGTCCTATGGAAAGATTGTTCACAGACAAGGAAAGCCAGAAACATCCAGCCACAGCTGGAGCAGCAGCTGCTGCAGGGGAGTCTGGACCTGCCATACCTGCCTAAGACAGGGGAAGCAGAGGGTCCTCTTCTGCAGACACCCCTGAGAGGGTCTGGCCTCCTCCCTGTCCTCCCCCACTTGACCTTTCCCTTTGCAACTCGTGTCTCTTGCTGCTGGGAAGGCAGGCAAAGACATGAATCAGCTGGTGACTCAGAGGATGACTCTAGCTGAAGACAGGGCAGCTCCTGGGCACCCTGCTTCCCGTCTGGTCCTTATCAGTTTGTCGCACTCCCAGGGAGAAGGGGGTCACAGCCCACAAGTCCAACCACTGGCGGCAGAGGAAGGAAGCTGCCCACAGAGCCTCTGCAGGAGCCCGGGCCTGGGCTGGTGGCAGGAGGGCTTTTCCCAGGATTTCACTAGCACTGTCCTTGGAAGGAGCTGCTCCAAGCAGTGCTGCCAGGAGCTCCTGACAGCTCCCTTGTTTGCAGTGATGGTGCAGCTCCGCTCCCTGCTCCTCTCTGGGGAGAAAATGGTGATTCCGGTCCGAGGATCTCAACCCTGCAAAATCTGATGTGAAATCATTTTGGACCTCTTCCCCCCGAGAGTGGAGATTTGTATTTCAGATGTATTCGATACTGGGGGGTGTTTGGGTGCCACAGTGCAGCACTGCGTGTGAAGACCTGACTCGGAGACGAACAGGCCAAGACTTGGTCTGTGTGGGAAGCTCGTCCCAGTTTCCCCAGGGGTTCTAACGCTGTACTCTGTCCCTCCCGTAGGCTTTGGCGGTGGTAAATATGTCTCCTTTGAGGACCGTCACTGGCACCATAATTGCTTTAACTGCGCCCGCTGCAACACCTCGCTGGTCGGGAAAGGCTTCATCCCTGACAATGATGAGATCCTGTGCCGCGACTGTAGCAGCGACCTATGAGCCTCCGAGGACACCGTGGGGCAGGGGCTTTCTCTATTCTTCAGGGTCTTTGTGCCAGATACCCCAACAACATTTCAGGGGCAGCGCACAAGGCACAAGAGATGGGGGCTGACCCCGAACCGCGGTGTGTTCCGGGAGTTCCTGTGCCCCTCCCTGAAGGCTAGAGTACGCTATGCTATGGCTCTGTGCAGAGTCAAAGCTAAATAAAGTTGAAAAAGGAGCTTCAATACCCCCCATTATTTACTCTTTCCTTTTGCTTCCTGTCTGACCAGGCACAAGCTGAGCCCAGGGCCCCAGCTGAGCAGAGGGCAGCAGCAGCAGCTTCAGCGTTGGGCTGCTGGATCTGCACGCTGGCAGCATGTATTTGCTCTCCTTGGCACAGGGCTGACTTTTCTCTTTTGCCCATGTCTTCCCTTGCTCTGTGTGATATAAGGCAGCAGCTCCTGGTCCATGTGGCTTGGCTGTGCTGGCCTGTGTAGCAGATGGCTTTGCCAGCACAGCCTTTTCTGTACGTGTGGCTGGCCTGTGGCACTGCTCAACCCGGGCATGAAGGGTGCTCTCTGCCACGTTTAGGAGGTTTGGGGACACCAGGCTCGAGTGTTGCCAGGAGGAGAGCACGTGTCCTGGCAGGTGGGATCCACCTCCGGATTTCTGTAGCCACCTCACCATTTGCAGGCCAGACCCTTTGCTCTGCACATCTCCGTGGAGGTGCTCTCACTCAGATGTGGATGAGGAGCTCAAATCGCTCGCAGGTACGGGGCGTTCTGCTCCTCCCACCTCCCTGCCCCATTCCTGTCCATCTGTGCTGTGATCTCCCGCGGCTGCCTCTGCGGTGTCTGAGCTGGAGCTAGTGGGTGTCAGCCCACTGGTGGTCCCCCCCCGAGATGCGCCTGGCTGAGCCCCAGAGAAGGGCGTGCTGAAGGCTGAGAGCACCGAGGGCTTTATTCCTGCTCCATCCCTCTCACGGGGAACCATGGGACGGGGACTGCCTTACTGAGCCCGGCTGCCAGCGGCACAGGTAACACTGAAGACCTTTCGTTAATTTGTGGAGGGGAGTGTTGCCCACAGGCTGTGGCTGCGCTTGGTGGCTGCTGGGAGCGCTAGAGGGGAGGGTCTGTGGGAGCGCAGGGCTCCAGTGCGGAGGTCAGCCGGGGGGGCAGGCGGGGTTGCCGCGGCCGCCTCCTGCCAGGGCTGAGTGTCCTCCCCTGCGGCGGACAGAGAGCGGTGGCTCCCCCAGCCACACTCATCCCTCGCTGTGTCCCAAACGAGAAGCAAAGCAAAGGTGGGCTGCCCTGAGGAGGGGCTTTGCATCTCCCAAGTCCCTGCATTGGCCCTAACTGTACAAAATAGGACATCTTTAGTCATCCCAGACTCACACGAGGGTTTGAGCCATCTTTGCCTGATGGCTGAGCTGGCCCTGGGCCCCGTTAAGGCCCCTCTGCAGTGGGATGCTCATGCCTGCCTTGTCTCTACATCCCTTTTGCTTCTGTCTTGCTGGGGCACTTATGCTGACCCTGCTTTCCTGCTTAGACAGCCACGTGCTTTTCTGAAAGCATCTTCTTGTGATTTTTTTCCTTTTGTACTCTTTTGTCATGAATATCTGTCATTTTGTAACCAACTGCAGGATGAAGGGGCTAGCCCCACCCCCCAGGCTTCACTTAGGAACAGAAAATGTTATGCATGTTGAAGTGTTATTAACTCTGTATTCAGATCCTTGTTGGACCCTCGTTTGAAAGCTTTGATGCAGGCAAATCAGAGTTTGTGTGTTTGCTATTCTGAGGAGCTTGGAGCAGTCTCTAGAAGGAAGTGTCCTAAACCTCCTGTATATTTCCTACGGCTTTATATAATAAACCATTTTAGCGATGCTTGCTCTCATGTGTTTCTCGAACAGCAGGCACAGGGCAGAGCGCTGTCAGAATTGGTGTTGCAGCTCTGTGCTCAGCCTTGTCCTCGCCCCTAACCCTGTACTGGGGATGGCTGATCCCCCCAGTGCTCGTGCCTCCCCCTCCCCAAACCACACGCCAGGTACGAGTCCCGTTGGGTTATGGCAGAGGAACAGCAGCTCCCTCTTCCTGCTGTGGGGCTGCAGTGGGTTCCTGGTGCCAGGGCTGCCTGTCTGTCCATGCCTGCTGTCTGTCCGGGCAGGCTGTTCTGCAGGACGGGCCTGAGCAGGACTCAGCCAGTGCCAGTGCTGCACGGGTGCGATGCCTCCGGGCCGGCTGTCGGGTCGGGCTCAGCAGCAGCCAGGATGCTGCACTGCTGCGGGAGCTGGTCTGGATCGCTGCGATACCGAACCGTATCCCACTGTGCAGACAAGCTTCCTTCCCCCTGCGATACGTACTCCCCAGTCCACACACGTAGGCTCTCGGGAGGAGGTTTGGTGGGGAAGTTGCTGTAGTCTCCAGTCGGGGTAACAGTGGTCTCCTGGCAGCTTTCCCCGAAGTGGAGCATGCTCATTACTCACTTTTATCAGCCGGGGAGCCATTTATTCCCTTAACATCTGAAACTATTTTCCACAGATTTCTTTACATTTACTAACAGCTGCCACGACTTCCTCTGGGCTTGCCTGCCCCAGCACCCCGCTCCGTTCCCTCTGCACGGTGGCTTGGTTTCTGTGGGTGCTACTCCAGCGGCATGGCAGGCACAGCCCAGGGGGCCTGGGTGGGACCATGGCACAGGCTCTGTGCGTGCGCATTCCTGGCTCCTTCAAAGGCTCCTGCCCTGGCAGCTAATGGGGTTTTAAAAGTAAGAGTTTTATTGCTGTTGCTGCCCAGTGACCTGTGCCAGGCTCTGGTTTTGCTGCTGCTCAGCCTCAAAGGGTGAGCGAGCAGCTCCAGCCAGGGAGGTTTCCAGCTGAGCCTGTCCTCCAGCAGGAGCACCACAAACCCTTGTTTCTGCAGCGCTGTTTCCAGGGATTAACCACAAAAGGTTTCTGTACAAAGGGCCCCCGGGCTCCTCTTTCAGTCAGCCTCAAGAGCCTCACGTTTTTAGCCAAAAAAGGAAATGACCCAGCTGCACGTAGCACTGGAACATCTGGATTTTATCCCTGTCATGAATGGGTCATGGCTATGCACAGCCCAGTGCCTGATTTACAGGAGGGGGAGGGTGATGTCATGCACAAACATCCCTCGAGACTCCCAGAGTGTGGGTCTAAAACAGTCATGAAAATACTATTAAGCACAGGCGAACAGTGCAGGGGGGAGGGCAGGGCTGGGGCTGCTGTGCGGGGTGAGGTGGGAGCAGGGAAACTTGCTGGGAGTCCAGGGCAGCACTGGGGGTGTAGAAAGAGGCCCCAGCATTAACCAAATGTGCCCAAGCTGTGCTTGCCTGCACCACCAGCATGGGATCAGGGACTGCATTTGCAGCCCCAAATGGGCAGAGGCAGGTCCAGGCCACTGCCTGCCCCAGCGAGGTGTCCCAGGAGGGCTGCTTGCTCTGGGCCAGGGTAAGTGCCGGGGTGAGAGCAGGACCCTGCCACGGGCTGGCTGGTGCAGCCACAGGGCTTGGGCAGGGATGGGGATGGGGACGGGGACATGATGCTCCCCGGTGCCTGGGAACAGCCTGGTGTCACAGACCAGGGCACCAGAAGCAGCTTAGCTCAGCGGTGACGATGGCTGCTCGCTGCTGGCCGTGCAGCGGTGCCCATGCTGGGCGTCTGCTGGCTGTGTGCTTCCTTCCCTGGAGACGGACACGGCCGCTCCTGGCTTGGGCTCGCCGCAGGCAGCGGTTTCACCTCCCAGGGGTTTGTTCTCTTTCCAGCCAGAGTTTCCCCCAGAGGAGGGCTGAGCCACTGCTGTGTTGGATATGGTCTGTGTGGCAGTGACGTGTGCCGGTGTCCCAGAGCTGACGGGAGCTGCACGGCTGGGGAGCGAGCTCTGCCTGCGTTTGGGCAGGAGGGAAGGGCTAATTTCAGCTCCCAGCTGCCTGCTGGTGTTTGCCCCTTTTCCAGCTGTAGCTGCACACGGGTTCAGACAGCGTGTCAGATTACTGTGCTGGTAATGCCCTGTCTGAGCTCCCCAAACCGAGCATGGACCTGCCTTGGCTGCTCCTGCGTCCCTCCAGGTGACCAGTCAGGAGGCTGCGCCGGTCCTGGGTGAAGCTGGAGGCTCGGGCTTGGCCCCACAATGGTAACAGGCAGGTCTCCAGGACAATGGCTGCAGGTCCCAGGGCTGGTGGGAGAGCCAGTGTTGAAGGGTGAATAGCTCTCCTTTGTCTCTAGTGTTAGGAGGTAGGGATGTGGTTATAGCCAGGCTGAACCCTGCAGGCATCCTGCGAATACTCCCCCAGGGTTTTTTTGTTGTCCCTTTGTCCCTACCCTGCCAGGGCATCGCCTAGTGAAGGTCCTGGGGAGGTGGGGAAGGAGCAGTATCTCAGCACAAGTAGGTCTGCTCCCATCGTCCCACCTTTCCTTCCAGGAAAACTGTGCGATGTCCCTCCCTGGTCTGTCCCGCAGCCATGGGCACAAAGGCTGCTGCTGCGGCACGTGGCACCGAGGGGCTGCAGGGGCTGCGCTGCTGCCCCGGGACAGAACGGCACCTCCTGGAGCAACCTTCTCCCACCGGAGCAAACCTTCTTCCAGATGTGCTGCCATTCGTGGGATGAGGAGGAGGGAGGCCACGCAGGGGCTGCTCTTGTCCCACCTCAACCCTCCTAATGCCAGCAGCCCAAAATAAAGAGGCAATGTGCCTGGATGCAACATTGCTAGATTTCAACTCCTTCCCTTTCCAGGGATGAAGTTTCATGCAAAGGGAAATGGAAGAACACTAAGTTCAGAATCTTATCTCTGTTTTTATTTTTAGACAGGCATTCATGAGGAAGAAATGACGTACTTTGGGGCAGCCTGTAGTGCAAGAGAGTAATTAAAGCCAATAGTCTTACCTTCAGTATCATTCTCTCCTCAGTGAATTGGCTGTTCCCAGGGCAGGATCATGTTTGTCTGCCATAATTAAGCCCAATTTTTTTGTTGTTGCTTTTGGCTTAAAGTAATTTATCATGTGTGGTAGAAAAATATGAATAATTTATTTGTGAGTTAAAATTTAATTACAGCTTTGCATTTGGTAAAGTGGGGGCAAAGCACTGGCATGATCTCTCCTTGGCATTAGGGTGGATCTAAAGAAGGCAATTAAAATCCAAGTACAAGAGGAAGGTTGCAGCCACGGTTTCTGTGGGAGGACTTCCACCAGGATCATGTCACTCAAGCACAGTCACGCTGTTGAAAGCCTGTCAGGCAACAAAAGTCTGCACCTCCCAGGTACCAAGGGCAACAGCTCTGACCCATGAGAGGCAGAGTGGAGGCTGCACAGCAGATCCTACATGCTCATTTCTTTCAGGCATGTTCCAGTTTGGACTCTGATTTATGACCGTGTAACGCTGCTGGAGCCTGTCGACTCTGCCAGCTGCTGGCATCCCACCTGCGTGGGATGGGGAGGGTTTTCTCCCCCGGCCGCAGGGGCGCAGGGGCTTGTAGCGGGGTGGGTGCACGGTGCTGGCCATGGGGCCAGGAGCTCTGCCTGTGCGGCTGTGATGAGCACAAGTGACAGGGACACCCGGCGGTGCCAAGCCTGGACATTCCCTCCCCGCCCTGCGTTCAGCCCTTACCTCCAGCCCAGCTGCAGGAGGTGATTTTACAAGCTGTGTGCTACGGATAACAACTGCGTCTGGGCTAAGCGACCGTGCCTGCGAGACCCCGTCTGTCCTGCTTCCTGGGGCTCAAGAGTTTTCTCAGGAAGACAAGGTGGAGGCAGGCCTGCAGGTAGCTCAGAGTCACTGCACGCTTTGCCTTGGCTCTCAGCACCCAGTGCTGCACGGGGCTGGACGCCCCGGCCCCGGGCAAGCCCTGAGGAGCAGTGCTCCCCAAAAGGCAGGCCTGCTGGGGCCCTGATGCTGCATGAAGGCTGCCTTCTGCTTCCAGATGGGTCCTGGAATGTGCAGGGTGAATGTTTACTTAAGCAAGCTCACAATAATTTTGATAAGGGTAATTAAAGCCATGACATTTTCTAAGTACTTCTTCCTGTTTTCTCTGTCCTTGTTGCACATGTTCTGCAGCAATGCTGCGGCAGAGAGGAAGAGCACGTGTATGCAGCGGGCAGCATGTGGGCGCATGGCTGAAGGATGCCGTGCAGGGTAGAGTTGCTGCGTGGCTGCGGGAGGGGGTGTTGTCTGCACGCCCTGCGCTTGCACAGTGGGTATGAGCGAGTTTTGGAGCAGTTGCCCATGGTCAGGAGGACTTCAGGCACATGTGCTACCAGGCCGGACGCCGTGCTGAGTTTCCGGGAGATGCCAAGGCTGTTTCAGAGTGCACGCAGTTGCATTTGTGCACGCATGCTACTACGGAAAGCAGCCGTGCTAGCAGCGTTTGGAACAGGACTTTTGGGTATCTATTTAGCTTTCCCCTCCTCCATTCCCTTCTCTCCCACCTTCTGGCACCAGCCCAGCCCCTTCCCACCCCTCAAGATTGCCCCGAGGCTGCTGCCTGCTGAGATGGGAATGGTTTCACAAGTGTCTCCTGCTTTTAACTTTGCCTTCTCCACTTTGCTGTTGCTTCTCGAGAAAGGTCATTGTGCCTCCAAGGCTGGGGTCAGTCCTGATCCCAAATCCAATGCCAGCATCTCTGGGCAGTCTATGCCACCAAATATGGTCAGCGCTGGGGAGAGCCGCGGGCAGGCCTGGAGGGGCTTGGAAGGCAGCCATCAGGAGGGCTCCTGCCTGCAGAAATCCTCCGGGTGCTGCGGCCAGCAGGGCTGGGCTGGGCTGCTGCAGTGCCGGGGTCCAGCCGCTGCCACGGAGGGACAGGCAGGACTCCTGGCAGGCAGGCAGGGCTGTGCAGCGTCGCAGCTCTCCCGGGCACGAGGCTTTCCCTCCTCTCCCGGCAGCGACTGCCGCACACTCACCCCGGCTCTCTGCACAGCCTGGACAGCACGAAGCCCGGCTGCTCCGCATAAAACAGCATTTTCTTGGTGACTGCTAACTGAGTAAAATTTAGGCTAATGGCCTCATACAACACGACACTCTCCTTCACTGGTTTACTAGACTAGGAAGCGCAAGCAGTCACCGCGGTGGCAACCCTTTCCCCTGCTGAAAGCCATTTGCAGAGGGCCTTGTGCGTGCAGCCAGCTCCGTGCCC